GTATTCTATCATTAGACAGTTTAAAATATAATCATCTCTTCCATCCAATCACCACCCGTCACATACCTTTCGACATTGCTTCTGGACGTCTTCTTCTGCAAAAGTGGTTTTTCCTTTGAACTAATATTCGTGGTGGAAATTTAATGGTATTTTCCTACAGATTATGGAATGCATGCATTTAAAGCCCTAATTTTTATGATCAGTGATGAATCCAGATTTATCTTTCCAAGTTTCTATCATTATCTGAAAACTGTCCGAAGTCTGACCCAGATATTAAAGATGATAGATATATTTTGGTGAAAATTTGTAGTGGAGGCCCTCAATCTATGGGTAATGTTACAAGTTGGTCCTCCTTGGCATTTTGGAGTTCAACATTTAGAATTTATAGCACATTGGTCCCCGGTGAAATATTTGTATCCGTGACACTGCTAAAATTTTTAGAATAGTTTTGAAAGTATTTATACGATTACTTCAATTAAATAAGAAAAGAACAAAGATAAGAAATGTATAGCATTTCCATTTCGGCCTAGGTAGCTTCTTCACCCCACTGCGTCCTTAGTTGCTCCCCTCTTCCTTAGTCCCGTAGTCAAAACAATAGCTACGAATTCCACACTTCTAATGTCCCACGAATATGTTAGTTTAGAAAATAACGAGAAGGACAAAAACCATTAGGTCCGAGTCAATAAAGAGATCTAAATTCTTCTCAGGTAGAATTTGAATATATGGCCAATCATTTAACAACTGATTGTTCTACCACTGAGGAACAACAAACTTAAGGAAGCCAACTCTCATTCTTTGGACAACAACATGGATGGAACTGTCAAACAAAGACCAGTTTGAACGAAGTCAATAGGTTGACGGCCTCCGCTGCAATTTTCTCTATTTTGCTGATGGATAGAGCCCTAGAGGTATGATTACACAGTTGTACAGCTTCTTTTTAGTTTTTATATTACTAGTGGATGCACGTGCGTTGCACGTGTAGTGGGCGATGCAGTGTAAGTAACAATGTTGAAATTTGATTATGTGGTATTTCAATGAAGAATGAAACTTGTTTGAAGGAAGGATGATTACATTAGATTATATTAAATGTGTTAACATGTACTTACATTGGTGATAGTAATATCAAAAAAAAGTCCAACAACAGAGTAGCAGCAATGAAATTCATTCATCTCAATGCTTCTTCTTTAGTAGGCTGTAGCATTGCCCACACGTGCATATAGTATTCAAGCCACAACTTTATAGCATTACAATAGAACAACATACATCACTATAGCAGCAATGAAATTCATTCATCTCAATGCTTGAAAATCTCAGTAGCAACAAAATCCAATTCATATGAAAAGCTTTTTCAAAATTTAGTACATAAAGCTCATAGTATGTTCCTAAAATTAGCAGAAATAACTGACCAAAATAGATTTTAAAAACTGAAGGACGGAGATAATCATGAACAAAATCAAAAATTTCCCAGAATAAAACACCACTAAAAAATTGAATAAAGAATTTACAAATAATGAACCATGGAAGAATTTTGTGAACTTAACCAAGAGAAAATAAATGAAAGAACAATGGAGAAACGTTAGAATCTAGCAAAGATAGAATAGATAAAGAGGCAACTCAGGCAGAAATCGAAATCGTAACAAATAAAATGCAACCAGAAATTAAAGATTGACAACCACGATGGCACTACAAGAATTATACAATAAATATTCTTCCCAACATCGAAAAGGACTTGAGCAAAAGAATAGGAAGAATTGTAAAATAATTTCCTTGCAACTATCATTAAATTTCACACTTTATCCATTCAAAACATTCCATATTTTAAAGAGAACTAAAGAGGCAAACTGCTTTCGTCTGGTTCAGAGTGTAAAGTGATCTGGGCATAAACTTCATCTTTATCTCATTCAGCCTATCAGTTGAAACAAAAGGGAAACATATAAGGATAAAACAATTATTGTCCTCAAGATATCAAAGAGAGGAGAAAATAAAAAATCAAAAGAATTTTCCATACCAATAAATGAACGTGACAAACACGACAGAGGATCTTCCAAGGAAGATTGAGCTGTGGAATTTGTTGATTCAACTCCTGATTAGCCGACGCCTCTAATTGCAAATAGAATATGTTCAAATAATTTTACGTAACCCATATAATTAGCACAATAGCATATTGAATCCATCATAAAAACACAACAAAAACTACATTAGAAGCTCCAAAACCATTTCTCACCTTACTCTTTCCAAAGGTAATGCATAAAACAGACCAATAGTGAAAATCATTCAGTGGCTTAATATATTCTTTTACATATTTATTACATTGTCACATTGCTCAATTTATACAACATCAGTAGCTTATTCCATTCTTTAACTTCTGGAGTAACTTACGGATACAAAGAATATATAAATATTTTGGGCAAACCATATTACAGTTAAAGAAAGTTATTAAAACCATATATTACCTGCTAGTGGACTCTGCTTCTCCTTCAATTTCACCATTAATTTTGCTAAACTTCTCTTTAAAACTCCAAGTTATAATAGCCTCTGAATAACATGAAGCGAACATAGTTTAGACATTTTTTGTTCGATATTATTTAATTAATATTAAGAACCCTAAACAATATAGCATCTAAATTCTCTTTTACTCTATAGTCGTTCCTAAGGAAAAAATTTCATTATTTATATATCCAGAATCAAATTCAATTCATTTTCAAGTAGAGAAGCATCTGAGTAATTCTTCAACCATCTGAATTCCATGAGTTAAAAAAAAAAAAAAATTATTAGGTCGACATTCTCGTCTTATCTAATTTAATAACCTATGATTTAGTGCAAAATAAATTGAGTAAAAAAATTAAGAGTTTATGATTTATAATTGCTTTATTAATTCATTGACTTAATAAAGTCTATATTCAATTATCCATATGTGCAAATCGACACTCCTTTTCAGATTTAGTGCTGTGCACAGATAGTGGGTCAATTTGGGTAGAGTAAATTACAGTTCGCGCTTTAGGGATTGAACATGTAGGGCTCTTTGAATTGAAGTGTAAGAACGGAACGAAATCGAACAAACTCTGGGTCTGGAGTTACTACGAACTATTTTCTACTAAATTTCAAAACAATTCTTGTCTTAATGTCTTGTAGATAACCATAAGGTTTGGCGTATCAATGGCAGTGCCAAAACTCTAGTTCCCGTTGAAGATATTGGTACATTTTTCAGCGGAGATTGCTATGTTGTCCTCTATACTGCTGCTTGTATCAGATGGATGAGAGATTCGCATTATTAGTACTTCATTATAAAATAATGAAATTATTATGGATCAATTGGTTATAATCTTCTCCTGGTATAAAAAATCATACAGCAAATGCTATTGCTATTAATATTAAAGGAATACTGAAAGGATGACTTCCTGAAATTCTTTTCATGTGATTATGTGAAACTTTATTATCCGAATAGTTTGGTATAAAAAGATGACGACATAAATTATAAGAATTGTTGACATCGGACTAAATAGAATAATGGTACACATAACTCGGCAAACTGAGAATTGAACTATAGAAAATTCATATAAATCAGGTCATATTATGATAACTTGAATTGACAGGAATATACTCTCTAAAAATGGCTCTTGCTTTAGAAGGTCTTTTATTGGGTTGACTTGGTCGGACAATTGTTAGATAAAGTTCGAGCAAAGTGTAGGTCGAACCTTTTCAAAATTCCCAATTCCAACTTCAGAAGGACCCTATTCATATTACAAAATTTATAATTCATATTTAGACATAAACATTTCACAAATTTACTGAGTAATAAGGAAACTTAATTTATAACAAAAGTTGCAATAATTGATGAATTTATACAAATTAGTCTTACAGGTCGACTCTGTAGCCAAAGAATGATAGGTCATGGCTTGTTTGCAAAGAAGAGGCAGCAAGGAAATTAGCTACACGTGACTTATTGAAAAATTCAGCCAAAACTCAACTCTCAGAAACTTTCCGTGGAGCATCTATCTGCTCATATTTAAAAAATCCATGTATGTGGTTTCAAACTTGAATAATGCAATGAAGAGGCAGCAGAAAAGTAGCTACACGTGTGACCTATTTAAAAATTCAGCTAAAACTGAACTCTGAGAATACAGATGCTACTTTCTTATTAGCAGGCTGCAAAAAGCAAGAGGAGAAAATGAAAAAGGAGAGAGCAAGTGAGCAAATCACCCAGTTTTGGTTCCATTTCCCAACAGGGCATGTGTGCACAAAATTTATACAAAAAAAAAGAAAAATCAAAGAGGATCCTAGTTCAAATTCACAAAAATGAGTAATAGTTAAAGCAAACACCACAATCAATCAGGGTTAAGCTCAGCTTTATAAATGGGCAAGTAAATCAAACAATAAAGAAGCTAAATGATTATCAATCCCAGCTTAATTGAACAGAAGGGTATGCAGAGTGATTTACCATTTTTAAGCTCCAATTCATTTTCCAGTTTCTTAAACACAATCTTCATTGTGGATCCCGCTACCCATCTTCCCTTTAAAACTTGTATTGTGAGCGACACAACGCAGATTGAGAATCAGGAATCACAAAACCATCGCCAATTGGCTTCTCTGCCACTCCCACCACATCTGCTACCACCACCGCCACATCCTTCGTGATTTCCTTGGCAGCTGCCACGGCCTCGTAAAATAATAGGAACACATCTCAGATAAATAGCAATACATCACAGAAATACAATTATAAAAGGTCAATTTTAACGAAAGTGAAAGTGATTTTGGGCGTGTTTGAGCTGCTTTATCCCTATATATTAAAGAGATTAGAAAATCGAATTTGCAGCAAAAACAAACCAAGAAAAAAAACCATAGTCGACTTCAAAAAATTTACCAGCAAAGGTAAAAATTATCAGTTCATGGCCAAGAGTTGAACAAAAATTGAATAATAAATATGAAGAATTAAAAGAAAGTTTGAAACCTTTACCAATGCTGCTGCTCAGTAGTCATTCCTCAACCTTGCATTGCCTCAGTTAGCCGGTTGAACCCATGCTGTCCGTTGTTAAATGTCGAGTCAGTAGGGAAATAAAACAGGGAATGGAGAAAATATATTTACCAGGGCCATGTAGTTCATAAACCTTTCATTTCCAAGATCAGCGTAGTAGTATTCCTTCAACTGATTGGGCTTCAACTGACCTTTGTAGAGAATAGTCCTGCATAAGAGACAATGATAGCAAAAATGTAATTTCAAAAGTCAAAGCAAATAAATATATTTCTCACATTCGAAAGGGAAAATTTCTCCAATAAATAAACCTTGAGGAAAGAGAACATATATAGAAATCTCTCATTGTCATATAGTCAATCCCTTGGGGAAGCTGTTGGAATAATTGGGCCTTCTGGGACTCGTAAGTCAATAATCTTGAAGATCATGGCTGGGCTTCTTGCTCCAGACAAGGTAATTCTCATTATCATATAGTCAATCCCACATGCCATATGACCAAGTTGATGTCCACGTTGATGAACAAAAGCTCTAAAAAATGGCTGCACAACACACGTCGTTTTCTAAGTAATGGTTAGATCATGTACATCACATATCAAGTTGAGAATCTCAAATTTCCATCTAGATACTCTCAATTATCATTATCTATATTGTTTATTTTACTATGGTCAAGAAATTATTCTTTTGAGTTTATACTTTTATTTTTCCTTTTTTCCTTCACCATTGGAAAAAATAGGTGCGCACAAGCATGCATCTCAGTGATCATATTATTACTCGATTCATCGTCATATTTTCCACAATCTCAAAAACTCTCTGCCGGTTATGGTGTATTAACACTTGATCTTATAATTACAACCACAAATTTCATATGAACAGGTATAAACTTAGCTTACTAATCCTATGTTCTACATTTTAATAAGAAGTGAAAAAATAAAGATATTTTACAGCAGTAAATCAAATAAACAATGAAACCTGAGCAGGAGGCAAGGATGAAACCCAATCCGATACGTGAGTTGGAAGAAGACCCAAAGTATTAAGCTGCCAACAACAAAGAATTTGGTTGGCATTGAAGTAATTCTATGATAAAATTTACAATGACTTGTCCAATTTAAAAAGGAAGCAACCTCCGAGATGCCCGGTCCTAAACCAACCAAATTAAGAGCAATAAGTACTAATTTAGGCGCTAGAATATCCACTCTATTATCCTTATAAAGCTCAAAACTGTCAATCAAAGCAATGATAGTTAGCATGGTTTAATCACAAAATAAACATAAATATTAGAAGCCGACAGAAATGTTGATATTATAAAGAAACTTCATCAAAATGTAAAACTAAAAGTCATGGATTAGCTCATAGTTTACAAAAAATATATATATATATATATCTAACTAAAAAATAAAAGATAAACAAAACATTCTTTTGCTTAACGGTAACACCACGTGAGCCTACATTCCTCCAAAATAACATTAACGCAATAAATCTTGAAAGTCAAAAGTCAATAGGAAAAAAATGTTAAAAATCGTTAAAAAAAAAAAAGTTATGCCAAATCTTCAAGCACAGAAGTCGGAGGTCCACCAAAACCTCATTCTTTTCATTCTCAGGCACCATTTCTCAAATCATAATCCGAGAAATGAACACACAATAAAAAACAAACAAAAAAAACCTGATAAGATATCTCCATCTGTCAACATATACAAAAGAATCCAAAAATAAATCAGCAAATCACAACTTCTCAAACCCACTTAATTAATTGGTTGAGCATCCTTGAGGCAAACAAAACAGAGATGGCTCAACACTTAAGCGAGGCAGTTGCTTCAGGCCTTTAAATTTTAAAAACATACAAATTTCGTTCATTTTTCTATTCATTGAAAAGCTCCCGCCTAATTACTTGAACATCATGGGAATAGATTGAACCTATAGTATCATTCTACTGATAAAGTCATTGTAGATACATAATTAAAAACTGTAGTAATAACTTGTAATGTTGAACAATTCTATAATGTTTGTCCATAAGAAAGAAGATATTTCAATGTACCAACATAAACCATAACCATAAAATTAGAAAACATTTCCACATAACTAAAATTACAACGAACAATTCCAAAATTTCATAAAACTAAGAAAAAATAACAAAAAACAGAATAAAAAAATACCAATTTTTTCCAAGGAGGAGGTGCAGGGTGCTCCACACACATGACCTAATAGCTCTGAACTTCGACCATTCTTATTACCTACAAATCAACCAACAAAATTACCTCTCAAAGTACAACAACACGAAGACCAACGTACAATAAATTCAAGCAAACAAATTATAATGGATTGTGCGTTAGAAGGCAAATTATGACAGAACAAATATATCTCAAAATCCATCCCAAATCGGATCTGTTCGTCCCAGCTCATTAATGAAAATCTTTAATTCCTTGTTTCACCTGTTCACTACATAATTAAGGATCAAGTTTTACATTACTTTGATATGCAAAGAAATGGTCCTGTTTGCTGATTACGACTTGATCGACTGGCGGTTCAGATTCTTACATAACATGTTTTACAAATTACTATCCACACACAGCCCCTTTCTTTGTCCAATTTCCTTCAACTTTCTGTTTTTATTATGAATACAGATATATATAATACCAACTTAGATTCGAAAACTTCTCTCTATATATACACACGACACGATAAGAACAAAGGAAGGTTTCAATTTCTAACGAAACAGAAAAGTAAAGAAAAAGGGCTGAACATATAAAGAGGAAATTACAAAAGAATAAGAAAATTACCGACAACCCACGAAAATGACGACTCCGAGACTGGAAAAAACTATAACCACTTCGAAAACCTGCAGATCGAAGAGCCCGAGGCGGGAGCCGAGGTCAAGGTTCAGATTCTTACATAATATGTTTTACAAATTACTATCCATACACAGCCCCTTTCTTTATCCAATTTTCTTCAACTTTCTGTTTTTATTATGAATAGAGATATATATAATACCAACCTAGATTCCAAAACTTCTCTCTATATATACACAGGACACGATAAGAACACAGGAAAGTTTCAATTTCTAACTAAACAGAAATGTAAAGAAAAGGGGCTGAACATATAAAGAGGAAATTACAAAAGAATAAGGAAATTACCGACAACCCACGAAAATGACGACTCCGAGACTGGAAAAAACTATAACCACTTCGAAAACCTGCAAATCGAAGAGCTCGAGGCGGGAGCCGAGGTCGAGCGCTCGAAGCTTGCTACCGGCGGAGAGGTCGGAGAGGCTGTGCGTGTGAGAAGCTTACTGCCGGTGAAGAGGCACAAATTTTATACTTTTCTGCGAGATTAAACTCGAATGTAGAAACTTTTTTGAGATCTAGGAACAAGAGAGAGAAAATTAAACGGTAGAAATGATAGAGAATGAAGAGTCTAGAAACCGGAAGACTTTATGAACAAACCCCAATGGCTGAGCTGACGGCTCAGCTTCATGGAACGGCTGGACAAAGTTTTAGTTAGAACCGGCTTGTGAACAGTACATGAGAAAGTGCCTCTTTTATTTTTTAGTTAGATTATAAAATTTGTATATGTAAATAAGCCTATGTTTTTGAAATTAAAACACATTACTTGAACTCATTTTAGTTTTAACAAAAAAATCACTTCAACCTCCATAAACCATTTATTTAATTTTCATCTATTTTGTCTTTCACTAGTCAACAATTATGGGTAAGAAAGAAGTCCATAATACCCTTTTGTTTTAAAGAGACTCATAGATGGGTAATGGATTACTATAAAAAATCTGCATAATTGAACAGTAAATGGCAAAGGATAAAATGGGAAGAAATAGTTAATTAGTGGGGATGAAATGGGGAGAATAGTGGGGATAAAATGGGAAAGGCAAATACATCCTGAATGAATGGAGAATAATAGAAGAGGGAAGTAGAAGATGGATATATAATGCTTCATATACGTTCACAAATGATAAAATAGATATTAAATTTTATAATTTTGTATTAAATTATACAAAAATCATATGTTTCATCTTTTCGACTGTCAATAATAAATAATAGAAAGAGAAAATAACGTAGAGTTAACGTTAAAATTCCTTATTGCTTTATCAAGGATTACTAGAGCTTGTTGTGGTTATATTTGGAATATTTTTGATCAGTTGTTTGTATTTGTTACGTAATAAGGTTTACGCTTATCCATCATTTAAATTTTCTGCACATATCTGTTAGTCATTAATGTTTAAATCATGTCGTTCAAATTCAGATTCTATGTGTTGTGTTTTTACAAAGTGTAATTAATTTTATATAATTATTACATTGTTAGAAAATTTAAACGGTTGAATATTTCTTAAACGATTTTTTATAACTAACTTCTCATATTCGACAGACAGTTTTGGTTTTCCTATGCGAATGGTTTAACAGATATGCTAATAGTGTTCTTCAATTGTCTTAGTTGATACTGCTATCGTGATGGATATTTTGGAAACGTCTGTTTATGAAGACCATTCCTTTGATAACTTGGATGCTATCTCAGGAAGTGGAAATGAGTTTTACAGAGATTCCATTCATTAACAACGAATTCAAAGAGAGAGATAGGCAAAATAAACTTAGAACTGATTACAGTGCTTATCATAAAAGAAGAAATGACCTTATGTTATCTGAAAATAATTCTCCTATTGTTGTCCAACTACACGAATCAAGAATTCATCAACACTTTGACACTTTAACTTCAAATCAAGAAACACATAATATTTTGAATTATGAATTAGAAGGAACTTTTTTTGTTTTTTTTTTTTTTTCAGTTAAACGACTAGATAAAAATTTAGGTTAAATTCAATAATTAATTTTAATTATAAATTTTACGGGAATTCGCAACTTATCAAACACATTTTTAATATAATCTCCTTCATTCAAATCAACTTTTTGAAAAGCACGTTCCCAATCTTCTGGAGGCAAAGCGATTTAACCCTCTCTAGCTCTTAAAGGTCAACATATTGATATACAATATAAACATAATGAACCAATATAATAAATAAAAGTTTTAACCTTTTTTTATTCTTACAGCCTGTCTGTTTCTGCTATAAATCACAATTCAGACCGTTGTGTACACTATTCCGCCTAAATGTTTGACTTTATTGTGGAGCAAAAAGTGTGGAAAAAAAAAGGGTAAAAAAATTGATTTTTTGGTTAAAAAAATTTCCACCAGACAGTGCTTTAATATTATAAAAATTTGTAGGATTCACTTTCATAAACAGTCATTAATATTCAACTTGATCTATAGGTAAGCTTGGTGTGATTTTATAGTTTACTTTTCTAATGAAATAATAAAAAATAAAGGCTGCTCCAATTTAATATGGAGTAGCTACTTGAGGGAGTTTACCCTTATATATCCTACGTAGAAAATTGGACAAATTGCAGTCGACATTCTCAACTTTTATTTCCTTTTGCACTTCTTTTTTCAAACTTTTGTTTTCATGACGCTATGTTAACGTTTCAATAATTGAAGTCTAATATACCTACTGTGTACTAACGGATTCCATCTAAAAATCAATTAAGTAGTCATGTGTAACTCACGTGATAAATTAAGCAAAGAGCATTGATATCCAAATACTAAATCTTTAATAACTAAAAAAAAAATATGTAAATTAAAAGGAAAAAAAAAAAGACAAAAAATTAAAAAATTGTCATCCTAAAGGCTCCCAGCGGGCCCAATCACCTACCCCAACCACCAATACACCATTCCGGCTAAAATGATTTACAACGAAAACCTAGCTTTAAGCGTAATAGTCATCCCTTCTGGTGTCTCTAATCTTGCTTATTAAAGCATCTTTACACTAACATATATGAATATATCGATTTGAAGTAAATTTGCTAAGCAAAATTTTCTTCAAAATTAGAAAAATATACACTTTTACATAAGAATTGAGATGAAGTATAATGGAGAAGAAAATAAAACCCAATTGTCCTAGTATGTTTGGGTAATGATAAATTGCATAACCACAATTACGTAAATAAGATTTTGAGCTTAACATCAGTTCCCTTTGTTTAACTAATCGTTTGAGTGGCACGCGACCTATTACCTATTAATGAATTTTTTTTTTGGATGGAATCCGTCAGCATGGAAAGATTATGCCAATAAATAAAAAGTTTGGTAATAACATTGTCAAAATTTAAAAGTTAGGGACAGAAGTGCGAAAAAAATAAAAGTTGGAGACGGCAGCCGCAATTTCTCTCAAAAGAAAATAATATTCAAAACCATTTGACCCCAGTAAGCAATAACCACGTACTAAACGGCTGCTAGGCAAAACCACAACGGACAACAGATAAGGAGAAAACCGCCATCCTATATATACAGTAGTCATGTACAAACTCTAATACAGTCACAAAACTAGTGAAAATTCATTTGATATGAAGTTCTTCACCGAATTAGCTTTATGTTGGGGTGGAGCCACTGTGAATCCAGCAGCGGAGACCACCGTTAGTGGGCGGCAGCAAGAGGAGGAGCAATGGCCAAGGAACTTCAGCCATGAACATGCCGCAAGTGGAGTAAGGAAAATCAAACCCTCCAGGCAATGGAAACCCAATCTTCACGCAATTTCTGAAGACCGTCCAATTTCTGATCTAACCCAACCGACGGTGAGATCTGATCATAACAAACAACTCCATAAAGTCAAACCTGATTCTACTACTAAGGTTGTACCGCCACCAAGTCACCTTGACAATTACTGGTAAGTTTCAATATGACTAAAGAAGAGAGAGTTCGTATTTTTTATGATGACGCAACAAATTTTTATGTGTTTGCAGGAAATCGACCCCTCCGATATCCTTGCCAGCATTCTATCCGAGTCCATTTATGATCTGAGTGTGATTTGGACTGCACATTCTGTCTTTTTTTTCATGAACATTTTAGCGAAGTAAACGTTGTAGTTAATACAAGTTTGCTAAAGTGCAGTTGTGAATTCTACTGTAAATACTTTTTATTAATGATTTTCGTGCTTGCGCCTTTACAAGATCGAATATGCGCTTATTTTCCATTTTCAAGTCCCAAATTAATTCCAAAAATGCCTCGATCGAATATCTTGGGGGGTACTTATTCGTATTGGATGGTTATCAACTCTAGTCAAAGGTGCAAGTTTGATAGGGGTTGTCTGGGCAGATACTTCAACCGCAATGAATGTTTTTGGGAAAAATATAAGTTTTGTTTTTCTTCTAAATGAATATGATATTGAGATGTTTTATTGATTGGCGGCTTTTAGAAAAAGTAATTAGAGTGCGTTTGGTTGTAAGTGTGGAAAATGGTTAGAAAGAAAATGTTTTACAGGGAAAATATTTGTCTAGAAAATGTTTTGTAGGGAAAATGAATTCAAGTGTATTTGATTAATATAATTTTCCACCCGAAATTTTTTTAAAATTTTGGATTTTTTTGTTCACGTTTGACTTTATTTTACATTAAATTGTTCATTAAAATAAATTTTTTTTTTTTTACATTTTATTATGAAATTTGTTACCATTTTCAAAAAGTAAAAAAAAAAAAATAGTTTGCTCGAAAACTATTTTTTCACCATTTTTTATCAAAATTTAGTGCTCGTTTGACTTCGTTTTACATGACAATTATCTATTAAAATGATTTTATTTTTTTTACAATTGACTATAAAATTTATTACCATTGCTAAAAAAAAAAAAACGTGGTCAGACTTTAAATTCATTTTCCCACCAAAATGGTGGGAAAACATTTTTAGCCAAAAAGTGAAAAATAGGCGCGTTGAGGGGTGGGAGGGAAAACATTTTCCTTGGAAATTTTGTGCTGTCAAACAGCACAAAAGTGGAAAAATGGAATCCATGGAAAAAAAAACCTAATCAAACACGACCTTAATTGTTTAGTGAGAATTGTGTTTCGGTGCGACCCATATAACTAATTGTTTGATTAGATTAGAGATAGTAAAAAAAATTCTTTCAACCCCATACTAGGCGATGATTACCCGTTTAACCGAGTAAACATGACGAGGAGTGGACGTGACGGGACGGACGGGATGGGACATTGCCCCGGGCAGGTCCGGAAAGCATAGCCCTCGCCCCAACCTTTTAAACTTAATTTAAAATTTAAAAGTTTTATCAAATAAAAATAAAAGATTTATCATCATTTTTAAAGAGAAAATAAGTTATTCTTAACAAATTGAAAAAAAAGTAATAATATTTACTAACTAAAAATATAAAAATAAGAAATAATAAAAGGGGCTGCCCCGAACCGCCTTGTTCCGCTTGAACCGAGTATGTGGATGGAGTAAGATGACAAAAATACCCAAGATAGCGGGGATAAGAATGACAAATCCATCCCATACGCGCCCCATTATCATCCCTAGATTAGATTGTCAAAATATTTTGGTCATCTAAGGATTTGACATAAATAGTCCTCCAAACTGCAGGTAGACTGAGGGACTAATTGCTCCTATTAATAACACCAAATTTTTCTCACTTTTACAATCATCTATGTAAAGAAATGTGGATCCCATAAAATTAAGGACTTCCTAAATTTTAATGGTGAGGCAATATTTTCAGAGTATATTTTGTGCATTATTGATATCCCGCGCACTACCTAGAGCATGTTTGGCTTTGTTGAACTGTTACAAAAGTAGTTGAAAGATAGCTTATCTTGGCAGTAAGACCCACATTTCACCCCCTCAATGGCTGTAATCACTAGCCTCCACACAAGGATAGAAACACACCAGTGTTTACGTGCATAAGTTAGCACAGTATTAAACTGGCTTAACAATGTGAAGAGTTTTTTACTCTTTGCACGCAGGCGATGTGTGATTTGCCACACTCACTCAGGTATTAGGCACTTTCATTCCACAAAGGGCTAGAAACAGAAGTCCAATTCATCCTTATCATATACTTGTTCAAACCAGATGCTCAGCAAAACCTTTTATACCAATAGTTTGTTTGTGTTGGTATTTTTTATTTATTTTTATTTTTTTATGACAATAAAAGGACAACGATCACTTATAGTCCATCGTATAATCATTGTAATTTGCAAATGGATATATTATAATGAATATTTTGCGAATCTCTTAGAAATCAAGATTTATTCACGACGGTGACACTTTTAGCAACAATGGGATATGTTATCCTTAATGATCACACTTTTAGCAGCTAAGTAAACAGACATCTTAGTGATGGATAATTCTCATAACTCATCGAAATGTGTTGCAATGGGTAAGAAACTAAGTAGACTTAGGCATGTTTAGTAGAAAGGTTCCCTAAATATGGCAACATTTTCCTTTAAGGTAGAACCCTAAGCCCCAAGTATAACTCCATAAGCTCAACTCTGCGTCAGAAGAGACGAAAAGAGCCATTGAGCTATGAAGCCCCTGTTTGGCCCCCATTAATTTGCATTTTTTATGGTTGAAAATTTTGGAATAGTGATTGATGGGAGAATGTGTGGTGAAAAAGTAATGAAAATTTTTAGATTTGTGTGTAGTATTATTTTATTTGATGAATATGTGATTGTAATGAAGAGAAAAAAAAATTTAATGTAATGTTATGTAATTTAATGGGGGCCAAACAAGGGCGAAATCTACAATAAATAGGCTTGCTTCTTCCTTAGTGATCTAATGGTACTCCCTCTTCTTGTTCACCTTATATTTGTTTACTGATATTTTCATAGATGTCATGAAGACGGGCAAAGCTAATCATGACCTTACCACTACTACAGTCTACAAAAATAGGGGTCGACTTTGGGGTAAAATATAAAGTGTGTGTGGTAAGAATATGGCTTTGAGAATCTAAATTTGTATTAATTTTGAATAACACTGAGTGTGAGCTTTTATAGTTGGGCATAATGAATGGAGTCCATTGGACGAAAGTGCACGTGACCTCATCTAAATGACTTCCATTTCTTGTCAAATACATCAATCAATCACAGGCTCACAGCCTTATTACCACTTTTGTGTCCATAAAATCTAGCTTGTACTTTAGACTTGACCAAATAGGATGGCGGCGGTGGCATGTGAGTTGATGTCAACTCACATGGTGTGAGATCCATTTAAGATCTCGTATGTATCTCAACTTGGGCCGGCTCTACAAAAGAGGCTCGCATGTAAAGGGGTCGGTCCAGGTGTTCTATGTGGGGAAGACGAGTTGCTCGCATCTGAATCGATTCGTCTGCGTGTAGCTAGGCTGTCCTATGTCAATGAATGAGGCATGAGCCCTTGAACTGTTCGCCACGTATGCTAATTGGACCCCTTCATGGGTCCTAGTTTTTCAAGGAATAACACTATCAGTGTTTCACAAATCACATATTGCCCCCCTTTAGTTCATCTAGAAAATTTGATTAAAATCTAATTCAAAAATAATAATTAATTTTAATAACATATTCCATGGGATCCATAATTTTTTAACCACAAATTTCATCAATTTATATCAAAATAAACTCAAAAATCTGACTTTTTTAAAATCAAAACCAAACAAGGGCATTGATTTGTAATTGATATACAAGATATAGCTAGTGATGTATCTTTAGCCTCGGTATGGTGACTCGTGTTGAACCCACTTAGCGTGAAAGAGAACTTGTATGTATCCTTCGTTTTTTTTTTCGAAACCGAAGTTCTTAGCCAAGTTCTATATCTTGAATCGCACGCAGTAGGCATTATTATTAATGGAGTTAGTTGTTTCTTTGATATAAAACTAATATTACTATGAACAATCGTGCAAAATAAAATGTTCCTGGTCAATATAGGATATATTATATTCCTATCTTGCGATATATATTAATATTGTAAGAAATTTAGTAGTAAAAATCTATTGAATATTACTAATTCTTAGTAATACCTTCAAGTAAGTCAATGGACATACATTAATTTTTACTATCATATCAATAATACCTTTTTCAACTATATACGTTGATTACATTTGTATCAACAAGTAACACGATGGATATGGAGGTCAAAACGGTACTGTTCTCGATAGACTTGAAAGGGCATTGTGGTTCAAAGATTCTATTTCTAACTCCAAATTTTAATGAAATTTTGGAAGTCCCTCCACTTTCGCTGGAGTTGAGCGCCAAAACAAACAATCTTGTTTTACCAAAATGTCCCTATCAAATATTAAAGCTCAATTATCAAATGGCGGAAACGCCCTTCACATCTGCATTGTAACTTGTACAAGAATTACAAGACACTTGCGACATTGCAAATATCATTTTACCAAAATCTCCTTCCTCAACTTATTATTCCAAGGGTAGTTATATTCACACCGCCATTTTTATTATTTGCACCACATTTGTATTGCATTAAAGATTCTCAATATTTGCTCATTTTATGTCTTTTAACTTTTTTCATTGCATTTTAATTAGCACATCTTGACTCCGATCGTGATTTATATCCAAATATTCTGTTAAATTGTATTCAAATGAGTGACAAATATTTTTCGAAACTTTTGTATTTATTGTCTATTTTGGTTACTCAAAAATACGAGAGGCAAATAAGATTTTTACACTCTCTTGACAATTGTTTTAGATGAAAATTGTCATTAGATACTGTTGTGTAGATTAATAAAAGGTTGATAATAAGACTTTGACGAAAAAAGTTGGGGGACATAAGTAAAAAAAGAATAAATTGACATTCGTTGTTATTAAAATGTGGTGCATCTAGCAAAAAAATGTGAAGTAAATATAATTAGTCTCATTCCAAAGTTAAGGCGTAGTTTTTAAAATGATGGAAAAACCCTTTCCATTTGCGTTAAAAAACGCATTACATTGTCAACACTAAATTTCTAACTTCATGCATCTAATCTGTTCACAATAGGGAGAAATTAAGAAAGAAGTTATAAAATGAAAAATTTAGATTTTACGTCAATAGATCTGTA